TGTGTGTGTGTGTGTGTGTGTGTGTGTGGAACCAGGGATTGAACTCAGGCTCTTACGCTTGCCAGGGAAGTGCTTATTCCACTGAGCCATCTTCCCGGTCCCTGTTGCTATTTATTTTGTTATAGTCAATACAAATTTGCGGTATCCGGGATCAAACCTGGGTCCTTGGCACTTGCTAGGCAGGTGCTTAGACCATTGAGCTATCATCTCCCCAGCCTCAAACTAACTTACTCTTTTCCCCTCCCCTCCCCTCTCTTCTCTTCTCTTTTCTCCTTTTCTTCTTCCCTTTCTCCTTTGTTTTCCTTTTCCCTTTTCTTTCCTCCCTCTCCTTTCCCCCCTCCCTCCCTCTGTTCTTCATCTGTCTGTCTCCTTGTGTGTGTCTGTCTCTGTGTGTCTGTGTCTCTGTGTCTCTGTGTCTCTCTCTCTCTCTCTCTCTCTCTCTCTCTCTCTCTCTCTCTCTCTCTCTCTCAGCAGAGTCTCATTTTGTAGTGCAGGCTGTCTTTAAACTCTCTTATGTAGCCCAGGCTGGCCTCCTTTTGCCTCAGCCTCCCAATTGCTGGGAATACAGGCCTGTGACACCACACTCAGCCAAATCGAACTCTTAGAGAACCAGTATATTTAAGTGTTCCAAGAGTCTGACTTTGTAGCACCTCAGTTGAAGTACATATGAGTAGAAACATATATTTGTGAAATAGCAAATCTGAAGCAGCTGGATAATGGAAGAACCTTAACATGTTTCCAAAAGACTGTTCAACTTCCTGGTTATTTCTGTTTGGAGTTCTTCCCCTCTCCTTCTCTGGATGTTACTATTAAAGTACACTAAACCATGAATAGATTGTAGACAGCTAAAACTTTTTCTAAGTCTTCATGATTGAAGAAAGGAGTAGTTGTTATAGGGTTAACTAGGTTCTAGAAAGAACACTGACTGAAGACTGACTCGGAACAGTCCACATAGAGCCCGAATGGCTCCTAGGCTTACAAAAAACTGGAACATAGCTCTATTTCATTTTAGTAATTAAAAGTGAATTTAAAACCGATAATGAGAACAATGTTAGAATCACTTTTGACAGTTTTATTTCTCAGGTAAACCAATATTTTCAATCAGTGATCTATTTCTTTATGAATCCCAGTGGTTTTAAAATTGTGGGCTGTATTGACTACAGATGTGTTGGCGTTTCTTTTTTTAATTTTTATTTATTTATTTTGGCAGAATTGGGGATTGAACTCAACCCCTTGCATTTGCCAGGC